TCATTCTCGAATTAACGCTGCCGCTTTCCAACGCTTCTTCGCTGACGTAGCAGAGATTCCATAGGAGCACGGAGCACTGGAGGACGGGTACTTCCGGTAAGACACGCGAACAGAGAAGATCCTGCTACGCGTGAGAACACAGGGCACCGCGTCGATGCATCACGCTCCGCCATTACAATATTTCAGTAGAGCCGTTTTCATTGTTCAAACGCCGCGCGCATAAAAGCCGCGGGGGGCGCTCATAAGCGCCGACTCGCCGCGTGAGATACGACCGGTTTGCATATACACCGAAGCAAACCTGGCCACGTGTTCCCCGCAATTTTTCCCGCCTAAGCGCTGATTGTTCTGGAAAATAGATCATCCCGCGTGCGGCAATTGCATCTTCTGCGATTCTGATAACCTGCGATCGTCGAAACTTTCGTTCCTCGACAAGTGAACCTCGGGCGAAATTACAATTTCGTGCAGGCTGTTGAAATTAACGTGCGACCTTGAACCGATGTATTTCGACACGTGCTATATCGAACGCTGGCGAATGCAAAAGTCGATTTTCCTTGGAAAGGGTTGATTTTAGGATCCATGTTTGTTCAGCTTTTTTGTTTTACCTCTCTTGGTGAGTATTGTAGGCGTGTAAAACCTTGGAGTATGTTTTTTGAGACAGACTGTATATGCAGTGTCTCCAAATGGAAATTTAATTTTTTCAAAAACTACGTGTTTAACCCCTTAACTTGCACGCTCGAGTTAATTCGAGCGCGCTAAACAGGCCAAACTGTGCACACTCGAGATAATTCGAGCGGCGTTGTATTTGATGCTGCTATAATTTTTCACACTCGAATATATTCGAGAATTGAAAATAACAATGTGAAAGCTAAGAAAAAGAATCGTGTTATTGATATTTATCATTTACATAGGATTGTAAGCTATAATACTTATTTATTCGAAAATAAAATATAGCCTTTTTCCATGGAACAAAAGCGCAGTATATCGAAATTGTCCACTAAAAGAAAAGTTGAATCAGGAGTGATAACAAATGGAAACCTTTGAGGATGTCGATGTTCTAAAGTTTGTTTTTTTTACATTAAAAAAATTGATTTTTTTTGGCCGGTTTTTTTGAGCCTCAAATGTTTAGAATAATTAAAGTAAAACGAATATCGTTAACTAAACATTTCGAACATCGTAGCTAACTAGACGTTATTTTGAATTTAAAAAAAAGAAAGAAAATTTTCTTCCGGCTCCCTGAACAAAACATGGAAATCTGGTTAGTGGAAAAAATTTATTCTACATTTTTACTATATCGTTGCACGTAGAATCATCTCGTGCCTCGTTGCATCAACTTTCCTGAAGCGTCCTCGATATTTCTTCCTCGATTTTTCCCATTCGTGTCTCATCTCACAATGATTAAACTGCCTCGATATATTAATTTCAATAAACAAATCGCGTTTCTATCCCGCGCAACGTCGTTCCCCCTCCCGCCCTCTAACCCGGCTATTAAACCTTGATTTCTCCCGCGTCGAATTTATCGCCGGCAATATTTACACTTTAATGGGAAGAGGTTAATCGCGCGTCGTCGACCTCTCGATCCAGCCTCCTCTCCGGCTGGTGGTTTCCGCGCGAAAATCGCTCGCTCACCGTGCGCTTTCATTGTCGTGTCGTTAGAAAACCACGGGACTCGATGCCTACGACCGATAATTCGACCGCATGACACACACACAGACAGACGCACAAGTTGTGAGAGCGGAGAGCTGAAGGAGGCACAGCGATTTCTTCGTTGGAAGGCCTATAATTTCGCGCGTGCTGCCAGGTTTTCCTCGATGGTCCACCACCACTCCGGAGGCTCCTTACGCGAGCTATCGGGTCACTCGATTCAATTTCCGGTCCCGGTGCTTTCATTTTGACGCGCCTTCCACCGTCCCCACCACATTTGACTCTCGTGTACCCGCGCAGCTTTCTCGTCCCCGTCAAATTGCCAACATCATTTTCCATTGATAGCAAGAACCGCAGCGGCGGCGGCAGCGTCGTAATTACAGTTTTAAATTTATACGTCTGTCGGAGGTCGGCACGGTAATTGGTTTATTTGCACGCGCCACTGCTTCGCCTATGAACACCGTTCGATCCTCGGAAATGAGCGTTTCTGCGCGAATCGATCGACGTGCAAGTAGGCAGTTTAAAGGGAAGTCGGGGCTCTAGGGAGATTGGAACTCAAGGGACGGTGTATGATTTGTATTAATGTAGCCCGTGTGTGCTGTCGCACTGAGCCGACTGATTAACAAATGGACAAATGCGTGTTGCCTTTCTAACTTTGTGTAATTTTTACTGTTTGTAAAAACGAAGTGACTAGTTTGACTGTTAGATGTTGTTGCTCTGATGGTTGTAACGATTCTGACTTCTCGAGAGCTCGTCTTCGCCCTCGAGAGCGGTGGTTCTTGAAAAATACGCTGATTGGTGAATATTTTCTCGTATTCATCGCCAATCAACGTGCCTAATTTTCTCGCCAACTCCTTCCAGTGCGCCCTTAGCGCGCTTTACCCTGGTGGAGTGGAAGAAGATCCCAAGGGGTAAACAAATGTTTATAATAATTCGGGAAATTCCTCTGGGTGACTCATCGGCCAGCGGACCGTTACAGACAATTGTACCCTTCGGAAACCCGTGGTTTATGGCATGTTCTTAAGCTATTGAGCGCGAAAGGCACAAGCGGCAAAAAACTCTAATTAAGTGATTCTACCGGCCTTCGCTAGGATGGACGTTAAAGCATAAAATAGTAAAGTAAATCCTAATCTCAAAAACAGCCTGTAGGTGCGACCGTGCCATAAACCTTTGCTGAACAGACGGTTTTGAGGTTCGAATCTTGGTGTTGAAGGGGTTGAGAGGGTGTGGAGGTGAAAAGATCGAGGAGGTTTTAGATGGAGATGAATATTCTTGGTTTTTACTGAATTTCAAGGAAATTTGGGTGGAAGTTGCAAAATTATCGAGACTGAAGCACGTTGTCATGCTTGGAATCTCTTTATACGACGAGTGCACACATTTTTGGTGATGTGTCGTACTAAATTTGAGGAAGAAACGTAAATGAACCCTTTACGATCGTATCACCTGACACTGTAATTTTGCAAATCAAGATTAAACAAGTGGAAAGATGACGATTACTTCGAAAAACATATAAAGGAAGAATTAAAGTTGATAAATTGAAAATAATGTAAACATTGAGAAAGTTTGATGTATAATTATTAAAATTAATATTTTTTGCAAATATTAAGTTTGTAGCTTCCCGCGGACGGCAATTCTTTCGGTAAGAATTTCGCGAGGTCGTAAATCCCGCTTGCACCCTAGGTGACGGTACGGGTTTGCTGCCCAATTGAGAAATTGATCTCTTTTGGTGGTCTCTAGAATTTCATCTTGTCACGACTGAATTTACAAATGTTGATTGGAGAGATTGTTTGGCTGGGTTGGGCGTCACTGCGAGAGCGAGACTCCAAGCGCTGGTTAGAGAATGACACCGTCGAGTCGTCGCCCTGACGGAAAAGAGCATCGGTTACGGAGAGGAGAGGTTCGAGAGGTTTTTCGATGGGTTCGCTCGAGGAGGTTTATTGCGGGCCGATGTGAGTTCGAATGAATTTTATGCTGATAATCCGCCAGGATTTCCTCAAATTTCAAATATCAATGACACACCCAATAAAACTCCAACGTAATACTTTCCTGAACTTCGATGTACTGAACATCCTTGCAGACGAAATTTTCATCAATCCTTGAAACACACCTCTCTATTCCAACAAAATCTCTCGGAAATTACACTTCGCTCGATCTTCCATCTTCCACCAGCTATTCACCTCATCTCCTTGCAGCGAAACACCAGTATTTCTCTAACAGCCGCTAAAACGCCTATTCAAGCACGATAAAGGGTGGCTCTTGGGCACGGCACAACCCTCTGGTATCGATTCCCGCGGATCGATAACGCGTCGAACGACAGAAATCGGCGCTCGATCTTTCACTTTGCCGGGTAGAACGTGAGAGGCAACGGTGAGGAACGGTCGCGTGGGAACTCCAAGGCTCACTCCGCCGCCCCTCTTTTCCCCCGTGGAAAATTGAATGGTGCGACGTGGATGAATACAGGCGATCGTTAGGCAGCCCCGATCGCTTCTTACGAATCGACCGGTGAAATGCCTTCGATAAGTGCCACGATAACCACCGGTCACAGGGCCATCGTCTGCACGCGTCCGCGTTCGCCCGCTCAGACACACGCGCCGACCAGTTCCCTTGTCATCATTTTATAGTTCGAAATGATACCGTACGTAGAAAGCGGTACGTTTGTCCCTCGAGCGTGTGTATAATACCGATTATACCCTGAAATTTTACGGTCAGATTTCTCGGTAGGTTATTGGAACCGGGTTGAAAGAAATACTTTTGCGACAATCGACTACCAAATGTAGAATGCCTCTGAAAATGTGGGGCGATCGGGAAATGTGTGATTACCAATGAAGCGACTAAAAATTCGCATTTTTCTCGGTTGTACCACGATTGCAGAGACTTTCTGTGTATTTCCACAGCTACTCTGGTCAATTCAACGCGTCTCTGGATGCTAAATGAAAGAGAAACTGAATGCAACGTCTGTGAAAGAGGACCCAATGTTTCGAAGAGTAATACTAAAATACTATTCACTTGTACAGTTGTTGGAAATGATATTTTCAGGGAGATAAAAATTCTCCCGTTGCAGTGTCGCTTCCACCAACTATACCTCGCACGTCGATGCAACTGTACACGAGAATTCAAGAAATAAGTGTATCGATTGTAGTTAAAAGACGGTTAAACTCATCTCTCGACGACTACGCTTGACCTGTCTAGCTTTTGGTACACATTTATTTGAAAATTTGTTTGCACTTGGAGCACATTTAATTTTGTGGGCAATTAAAAGCAGTAGATTTCATGCAAGAATTAATTTATTTCGTATTATTCATTATATATACTCCTACATAATATTGAAATAACTTTAGGCAGTTGGTATTACAAAATACTCTTAAAACAAATAAACTCTGGTTATAATAACATTTAACATTTTCTTTTTCCTCCCAAATCCATTCGTCTAATTTTTCACGAGAAGATTCACTGTCACTGCTTGATAAGCATCTTGTACGTCTTTTACGTCTTGGAATAATTTCACTATCGTTATCACTTTCTAGTTCGATACATTCTTCATCATTTTCATTTTGAAATTCCCCTTTATCGCTTAAAGGATCGTTAAAAAATTCTTCGTCAGATTGTTCAAGATCACTATTTTCGTTAAAACCGTCGCTATCACTTTGATAAAATATATTCTCTATTTCTGCCATTATGGGGTTGTGTGTCCCAAACAAGGTTCACCAAAATACTGAAATTATTTGTTCTGTTGCAACAGATTACTTTGAAATAAACCAGAATGAACTAGTTAAATCTCGTCTCAGTTTCAACGACGTATCAGAACGTCATGTGCGACTATGCCCAGACAAATGCATGACGTTCTGATACGTGAAATGTAGCCAAAGGGTTAAATTAGAGACGGAAACATACATCTTATGTTTAATAATGTGATCTTATGAATAATAATAATAAAAGTAAAGATAAAAATGAATTTAGAGAAGAAATAGAGAGAATACGACAAAGCGGGGGAGGAAAGTCTTTACTTAATCATGAAATAGTAGCAATATTTCTAAGTATAGTGCATGGTAAGACCCAAGCCCAAGCTATTGCTAGAAGGTTAACAGACAAGTATTCTGGAATAAGTAAGATCTTCAGCCAAGAGATGGATGATCTGAAAATGGTAGAAGGGGTGACTGATGATACAACAGCGATAATTTTGTGTGTTAAGGAAACTTTAGAGAGGGCACCAACCGAAGAGTTCAAGGAAGAACCGGTAATAGACGATTGGGAAAAGCTGACAAAATATTTAAGTACGAGCATTGGTTACTCAGAAAGAGAAAATCTCAAAGTAATGTATTTGAATAAAGGGTATCGTTTAGTAGAAAAAGAGACTTATACTGGTACAGCTGATCATATACCTTTTTATATAACAGAAATAAGAAGAAAAGCAGTACTTGCAAGAGCAACATCAATTATAATATCTCATAACCAACCTGGCGGAACTGTAAAGCCATCAGAACGTGATAAAGCTATGACTAAAAAATTAGCTTCAGCTTGTGCAACCATAAGTATAAAGTTAGTAGATCACATTATTGTTGAATAGATATGAAAATGGAGATGACAGTGTGTCGTATAAATGTTAAAGTAATGAAAATTAGAAACCAAGGTATAGTTGGGGCCACGATATAGCGAGGTCGTAAATTAAACTCTCAAGAATCGGCACCGATTGATGTTGCGGCACTCAAGGCCGTGTGTTGCAGTCTGTTTGAGGGTTCCAACAATAAACGAATGGTAGCATATGATTTGGTACTTCAAGTAGAAAATGGTATTTCATTTACAAATGGAAAATATGTTAATATTAAGCTACACAATCTTTTTGCACTTTCTATCTGTATATAACACGAGTAGATAAACTAAGATGCTAAAGGCATCAATAAGACCTTTACCTGTAACCGTACTTCCAAAAGCGGCTTCCCCCACAGGGAGAAACCCTAATTTGTCCTAGCTGCATGCAGTTTTCAGTAAATATAATAGAATCAGTTGACTTTCGCTGGATACAAGAATTCTTTGTACGATCCTGACCATGGTTTCAAGTACTTATCTGCTCGTATTTCTGTCAATTTCGGGGTCCCGGCAGCTAAAACATGTTTACTTTGACGCCTAACCGATTTTACGACCTCGCTATATCGTGGCCCCGACTATAAGTATTCTCCAATACCACCTAGAAACATTAATTTAGCCACCTAGAAACATTTTTTCCTTTGCTCTTTCGTACCTCAGAAATATTAACTAAATTCCTCAAACTCAACATCTAACAATTAAATTTACCTCCTTAGGAGTATGCTTGATTCTTCCAAGCCACCCTCTCAACTTTCAAACCGTCCGCGATAGCTCCAAGATTTACGATCCTTTCCGGGGCTGAGCCTGAACCGGCGGAAAACTGGGGCCGTTTCGAAGCTACCGTCGATGATTTACGGCCCAATATCGCGGGGAGTATCGATTATCAACTGTGACGTCGCGCCGTTACTCTCCCTCTCTCTCTCTCTCTCTAGCGCAATAACAACAACCAACCCTCGCAAGATCAAAGCGTAACGACGTTTCTTCAAATGCCCGGTTACAAGCCGCGCGCGTAATGACGCTTAAAAGTATCTCGCGTCAGACGCAAGTTCCCACAGGGGAACACCTACAATTACCAGCTATTACAAACTGGCCGTGGGTTCGTTTCACGGCTAAAGTTTTTGCAGGTTGGCCCGAGGTGGCGAGCGGGACGAAAAAGGAGCGTAATGGAGCCGGGAGAGTTGGTTGCAACAGGAGAGAAAGCTGTCGTATCAGCGTTTGAATAGATTAGAGGAAAATGGCGCGGCCTGTTAACCTGTGATCGTTCGACTCTAATTATTGTTCCTTCGTCTGATTGGTATTAACGACTTGAGGATGCATGCTAGATTCTCTTCGGTCTGCCTATAGTAGAAAGTATAACGGAGGCTTTGATAAGAGTGACGTGGGAAAATGGTGGCGAGTTACTATTGGCTTAGATTGTGAAGTGTGTCGAGTAG